CGTTTTTGGACGTCCAAATAAACCTATCAAGTAGCGGTTACCTGACAAAGTGGTATCGAAAGCCAAGCAACAAGAACATCCTTGTTCATTTCCTTTCTTCCCACCCTTCACACGCAAAGAGGGCGATTGTGAGAAACATGTTTCGAACAGCCACCTCTGTGTGCACTACCAGGGAACTAAAGGAAGAATCGCGCGACTTGGCTCGGCAAATAGCCATCTCCAATGGCTACGAAATAGTAACCCCACGAGATAAGTTTACAAGGAGAACGACGCGCCCACGCGAAACACTTGGCCAAAACAAAATCCCGTTTGTGTTGCCTTTTATGTGTTGCCTTAAGCGATGATGTAAGCGTAGCTGTAAAACGATCCTTAAGAAGGGCAGGTCTAGAGGAATCGGTGGCGATAGTTGAAATACCACCGGCTATTCTACGTCGCCAATTAGTCCGTAGCCGCCTGTATGACCGTCTGTGTGAAACAACAAATTGCGTAATTTGCTCTTACGGCAGGGACGGTGATTGCATGAGTTCAGGTACGATATACCTGATCTCGTGTAACAATTGCGGAAATGAATATATTGGCGAAACGGGCAGACCTTTGTGTATCCGTATAAAAGAGCACCTAGATGGCAAACGAAAACTAAGACGAAGCACCCCACTAGGCACGCATAGGATACAAAAGCATAGCGGAGACGATTTTGAAGTAAAAGTCAATATCCTTGCACAGGAGTCCAAAACACCAGCGCGAAAACTCCTAGAGGCTTTTTGGATAAATGGCAAAAACCCTACAATGAATAGCAGGGACGAATGCCGGGAGGTCGTACGCGACCTGACCCCGTATGTTCGCATCAATTGCTGATGTGGGATGGTGCAGTCGTCAACCACATGCGACTATAATCAGCTGTTCTAAACTTCCTCATTGGAAGTCACGAAAAAGCGGTGGGTTTTTCGAGAAGTTGTTGATCGTGTAATTACCAAAGAGTCTTTCGTCTTTGTGTAAGTGTTATTGAAGCGTTTGGCCTAGTAGATTGCATATCAGCATACCCCTCCAGGCTCTGAAGAAGGCGATACTTCCGAAACGTCAGCTAGCGTTGTATTGTATTGTTTTTATGGAAGTAAATGTATGCTGTTTAAAAACCTCGCGATTGCTGAACAAGAAAGCGACACATTTATATTTATGAGAAATCGTTCCACCAATCAATAAATATTGCGTACTTTTGAGGGAATTTCAGCTGCTTGGTCATGGTAATGACCCCATTACCAACACCAAAGTGTTAAGAGCAAACATTTAAGAAGCCGCGACATAACGCTGATATAATATTTGTGCATTTTCGACTACGTAGAGCAGTACTGTATACTAGGTTAGAAATGTAACTGTACCGAATTTGAAAGCGGTAACTGCAAATCTGCGTCAAAACGCAAGATGCACAGCAGTTGTTCCTGACCTCTGTTTTTGTAACTTCGACAAATGCTGAATGGACTACAATTCTTCGATAGTTTGATTTACTCACGTTTGAACACCTTGGGGATATCACAAAAAAGCCCTGCTAGCCTCTTGTAGCCTCATGGAAAACTACAGTTGAAACATAGTAGCGCATCTTAGAACTCCCTTGAATCGTTTGCAATCGAACTTGTGTAAATGAGCGCTCAGTTCGCGCGAGTGTGAGGAGATGATTTGGTTCCTCTAGTAATTACACTATGTTTAGAAAATTTCAACTAAAAGTGAGGCAGGGGACAGTGTTTTTCGACCATATAGAAGAATGTCTTCAAAATAATGAGTTAATTTTCTGTACATAGAAGTCGAAGTCTATTTTAAAGAAAAGGTATGATTTTCAATACTCGTTGGCACGTACCTTATGGTCTGTCATCTTACTGTATTTTAGGGCTTCTGCATTTACTGTTTTTCGCAGTAAGGAACCATTGGTGACTTTCCAGGCTTTGCATGGAATAGATTTTTTCTAGGCCGGATTGTCTGTAGCAAATGTCGAACTCGTTCCCACGTTTAGGTGAGTCATATAGGAAATGAGGGCCGGCAATCTATTACAGGTCGACTCGTGCCGCTGAATTCTCTAGCTTCTATGGGTAGGTAAACAATCGGAAAGTGCAATCTGATAAAGAGGACAGGTCTGAAAAACTAAGTATTTTTCCTAGCTACGTAAAACATGCATTATGCAACATGCAGTGTTTCAGTACTCCTATCAAACGAATAAGAATAAGGCAGGAAATCAATACGATTCATGTTGCATATTTAGTAGAAAAAGTGGCGAGGGTGCAGTTAAAGGAAGTTGGTGACGAGAGTAATCTTACTAATAGCAGTCCAGATGCTTAAGCATGAACAAGCAAAGTCTAAAAACTAGAGAACATCAAAATCACTTCACTAAACAACTAGGCTCTTTTATTGAAGATAATGAGAGCAATCATAGTGACGACTAATTCCACGTTGATGTTGGCGCAAATAGCACAAACATAACAAAACTAAAAACTTCAAAAACAAGGATGAAATATACTTTAAACGACGGGTTGTCATGTATGATACAATCACAATGATGCTGAGATATCCGCAAAACTCCGAACTTCAGATGTCTGCGGTGGGAACGGAAGCGCTATTACCCTTTCTTGGGGTCTATCGCGTTCACCATCACACTATGTTGGTCCTTCGGTTTGCCTTTCTCTCAGCTAGTTTTCTATCTACCAGTGCCTTCAGCTACCACCAGTCATTTGGGCCTACCAGATCAATTCCATTGCTGGGTAATTGCTGATGGCGTTGGTAGAAAGAAAACTAGCTGAGAGACAGGCGAAACGAAGGTTCAGCATGGTGTGATAGTGAACGTGTTAGTCTCCGGAAAGAGTAAAAGCGCGTTCGTTTCCCACCGCAGACACCTGCGGCCCGGAGTTCTGCAAATATCTTAGCATCAATGAAGGTGAAATAATTACTCCCACAGACTCCTAGCAACTGATTTATGTATGGGTCGTGGAAGCGCATAGGCTATAGGTGTCATGAGGCACATGGTTTTCACTTAGACCACGCCTGTAACCAGCAATGTCTTCTAGCTTTGTTGGCCGAAAAACTCGTGAAACTTGCCTGCAGAGTTTTGACCAATGCAACAAACCTGGAGAGTGGCAATGGTTAAAGTCTGGTAATGCTCAAGTGCGACCATTGTGACGTCCCAAGAAAGATTACGCACCACTACTTCTCAACGAAGGCACCTTCAGGTTAAAGTAGAATAAACAAGTAAATTCAAATATTTCTGTGGGTGATGGACGCAGTACGGCGAACAGAGCACAGGAAGTACCAAAGTTGCAGCCATAAATGAGCCAATGAGCTTCGTGAAATCTTGTTCACAAGGAAGTTTTTCCCAGCAATCATGTAAGTATTCGGGAACAATAAACGACTACTGGAAATGCCATCTCACGCTCTTTTTCACTTTATCAACTCAATGCTGAAACTTTTATTCATATTATAATCACTTTCTCGACAAATAGTGACCGCAACAGATGTTTTGTCAAAAGAATTATTATTAGTGGTAGAGAATAAGTAAGGGCTGCAGAACCAGTGTTCTCGGCTGCTTGTGCTGATGAATACTGTTTCAACTTCTTTTTGGCATCTGCGTTGCCTTAAAAAACCTCGTTTGTAAAAAAAGAGATTCTTAGAGCTTTTTAAAACTGTCCACGTTTAGAAGTAACCGTAAGTACTTTGACGGACCTATTCCTTGGTGTAGAGTGCTCCCAGAATCATCTGGCACCGTCTTTTCTTCCTCTGTAAGTGTGGAGCCCGTATAATCTGAAAACACCTTTATTAATGCTAAAAACTGTTTTTGAAACTCTTGGAACTTTTGCAACACTGGATTTTACTAAAACTTTAAACGAATAAAAGCTCTTTTTGGTGAAATATGTATCGTTTTCTTGCATACCTCCCGACGGAGCACTTTCCTCGTCAGCATCAAAATTGGATTCATCCGTATCACTTTCTTGCTTACTTTCTGACGGAGCACCTTCCACGTCAGCATCAACATTGGTTTCATACGTCATGAATTCCTCTTCGCCATCTTCTTAAATAACCCATTTATTCAATGAACCTTTTTTCAGGTCTTCCAGACTTCTATAAATTTCCTCGCACCTGTGCTTTCGGGTGGATCATGCACGAAGCCAACAACAGTGCTGCCTTTATCACTTTCCGTCACCTCCTCTTCCACTTGTACCAGCTTATCTTGCTCTTCTTTAATTGATTAATAAATAAAAACTCTACCCTTCCTGTCTTATTTTTGTTTTATCAAAAAATACTGCAAATAGCAGCAATGCACGTTATGGGCAACTAAGAAAAATACTCCGTACCAGACCGCACTTCCTAATGCCTAATGAACAAGAGAATTCAGAGGCGGGTGACCTGATATAGCCAAGGCTCACTGTTCCAAGTGGGTCACTCAAACTGAGAATAAGTTCGACATTTGGTAGAGAAAAACGCGCATTCAACGGTATAATCCATAAAGCTACGAAAAGCATTGAGGGAAGAGTTCTGAATACCAAATTGTGATGTTCTCCACTTTCCCGACTAAGCGAATCCCATCGAGCTGCCACCGTTAACGACAGAACCGAAAGGAAAAATTAACTGGTACGATGATTAACAGGATTCCAGGGCTCTTGAGCATGAAGTGTGGCCCGATTCAACCTTTCCAAGAAATTTTTATTATTAGTATTTCTCTGGAGACCACGGGATGACTCATATCACATGGCTTTCATATCGAAGCATCATTCATAAAAGATTCTCTTCGAAAACATTTCACTTTCACGGACAGTATTTCACTCTTTTTTTTCATGTTTTAGGTTCGCAAATGAGGATTTTCCTAGTTTCTCGAGATTTTCTGAGTGTGAGATTTTTTTCAGGAATGGATTTAGTAGTGTATTATTGCAAAAGTGTTGCATGCTTCTCAATAAGGTTTGAGAATAAGGCAATTCTTCTTTTCCTCTCTCCCAACGGTTAGCTGCCTCATCGTGGCTGGGAGGTGTTCCTGGGTGCCGGGCTGCGATGTACAATGGGATGATTCATCCTCCTGGCAAGGTCTCCTAAGCTGAGAAGGAGCTCGGTGTTTCCATCAGAAGCCTAGCTAACAGTAAACCAATATCGGAATCTGTCATCGGCCTGCTACCGAACTAGTCGCATGGCTGCCAATTTCTCTCTGATCCACAAGGGCGGCGACTGCCTGTGGTGGTGACGACCTGGAGCAGACGTTGGCCTAGCTGACCTAAGGACTCCAGGGAACCACAGTGGCTTAGCCGGCAAAACTCCGAAGAACGAAGGTTATGCCAGAATAAAAGTAATAAGGCTTTTTTAACGTGACTCCGGAAAAACCCCATCCTACACGCAACGTGCTAAGTGGCCACCTCGGTCTTTTTTATGTCGCTAGAAAGGAGCTGCCTATCTTCACTGCAGCTGTGCTTTTATTTCCTATAAGTGTTCGGTTCAGAAGAATCCTTTGAATAAAAATAGCAATTGACGAAACCGTTTTCGTGAGGGTTGCTGAAAATCGTTCTTCAAGTTCTATTACACTACTATTTCGTCCGTGTTATTGAGCCTTCGAAACTTACCTGCCTCTTCTTCCACTGCAGGCGAGCTTACATCCTAAAACAATCAACCAAATAATGACAAATGGATCATTATTGTCTGACTGCTAAACGTCATCTAGAACTTTTTCAAAAGATGATGGATTGATTATATATGCTCAACATGAATCCAGTTGAAAAAGAACAATTTCAGCAAAACCACTGTGTAGGTATTGTGGATTTGAATGCTATAGGTGTTCTGTGATGCTAAATAAGAGTGACAACTTACCTTATCATCCTGCGCTCTTCGTTTCTTCAGGAAGCGTTTCACTAAAGTGGACACGGGTGATTATTTCAAAAAATTTATTTGTCTTCGTCCAAAGAAGTCTAAAAGTTGAATATATCGAAAAATCACTCACTATCATGAAGATGGTCCGTCATACACTGCAGCATAGTTTTGTCAGTGGCTTCACTTTTGAGCCAAATTTCCTAAACCGCGTTTAGTAAAAGAACGAGTCATCTGCTGAGCTCGCGAGAACGGATCAAGCATTTACAAGTACAAGTGCAGCGTCGAGCGATGTAAGAGCGTCCTGTGATCCTGCGCTATTTTTTTCACTACCGTACGCAACGCGACTTCTAGAGGTCTTCCAGCTTATTCTGTGGTTTCTTTGGTGTTACCAAATATGAATAAACCTCACCGTCAAAAAATTGTAGTCAACATTGCAGTTGTCAAAGTCACAGTAACACTCCACAGGAACTCCCGTTGTGCACCTTCCTTTATACTGTAATTCTACGGTTTTTGAATTTTAATTCAATGCAGTAATATGTTTAATCTGAGCACACGCATTGTTCTACTGTGATGGTGCTTTAACTGTTTGTGTTTCACACTTGGTGTTAGTACCACAGTTGGTATACGTCATAGCTTAACAGAGCACACCAAAAGTAAACAAGGCTCAGCATTTCTCACTGGATTTTCTCACAAAAAATCTTTTTGTGGACAGTTCTTTAGATAAAAAACAAATCTCCAGCAGTGCTTAGTTTTAAAAAAACCTACCTGGTGGTGTGCTAAACAAGAAGAACGGTCATGAGGCCACTAGCATCTATCCATTAGCCTCTAGTTTTTTTCTCCAATTTGAATCCTTTGACTAGTGTCTTTCTTTTCAACATACCTTCGGATCGACGTTTTCCCTCAGACCGTACTCATTAGGCTTATCGAAGTCACACGGATATGCTCTGTACAGACACATGGCATTTGGCTAAAAGGTATCTTAGTCCTATTGCGTTTTAAAAAACGTCAAACATTTTTTACTCAACAACGTAAAACTAGATTTAGGCCTTTCATAAAAACAGTGGATGCCGTGAGGTTCGGTCGTATGCGCGGAATGGAGTATCTTCCATTTTTTTTGATTATTCAGTGAGCTTCGACACTTTACAATAGCCAAGGGAGTTTCTCGTCTACGACCCTGTTTTTTTCTATTTACCTTCTAATTTGCTTTTGTATGTCTTATGGCATTCTATGGATAATCTTGACATGGAATACACACAAAACCGAGCGAAGATCACATTAACGCGGAAAGTGAATAAGTGCGCCTATCAGTAGCCATGGGCTCGTGTGGCGCAGTGGTCGGAGGTGCCCTGCAACACACACACGTGGAATCGATCTCTGTGCCCATGGTGCACTAACCCCTTCATCCCCTCGGCAAATTGGTACCAGACTTGTGTGGGAGGATATCAGCACACTGGCTTGATACATTGCTAGGCCACCGCGAGTCATTGTAAATGGCAGATATGCATTCAATCACCTCGAAACTATGCTGAATGAAGTCGATTGCATGGCGCATCCCTTAGGGATTGGTCAACGCCGAGAGCTTTATCTATTAGTACCCGTTCCATTTTATCACTGCGTGAAAATGACGCTTTCTTACATTGACCCACAGAAACGGAATAACTAAGAAAGTAAATGGTATATTTACCTTTGATGATAAACGTGTTCGGTATCCTCCGTTCTCAATATCAGTTTGACATTTTAACGCATTTGTGAATGCCGTGAGAGTTAGTAGACCAATAAGTGCTGGAAATGAAGGGCTGGTAAAAATATTTTTCCATCTGTTTTAATGTTCTGTTAAAATTTTTCACCAATTAATCAGTTCTCGAATAATCGTTTTATTCGAGTAGTGCGAAATAATAACTGCGAAATAAGTAGTGCAAAGGAGATCTAAATGCGGGCCTAGGCACAAATGGCGTTTTAGATCCATCTTTTAAAAGGATATCTTTTTCACCGGTTTCATCATGAAATTTATATTGAAAAAGGGTCAGTGCATAAGCACGCATAAAGCCAAGCACTACCGAGTAAGATATTGAGTGAATGCTTCCACTTTTCAAACCAATAAAAATGCAAAGAACCACTTTTAATGTAACTACTCTTTTTTAGGTGGTTTGACCAAAATCGGATCATCAGGCTATGATGTGTAGTGGAGGATTCATCCCACTGGCGCGGTCTCCCAAGCTAAGAAGGGGTCCGCCTTTTCCATCAAGAAGCCTAGTTAAGAGTAAACCAATACCAGGATCCGTTACCGTCCTGCTATCAAAGTCGCATGGTGGCAAACTTTTCTCTGATCCAAAAGGGCTGCGACTGCCTGTCGTTGTGACGACCCAGATGGCTAGGCTGACCTCGGGATTCTAAAAAACCACAGTGGGTAAACCAGCACATCTTCAAAAAAGTGGAGGTTATGCTGAGACCCCCAGAATCAGTGAGGACGGGTCATCCAAGTAACCAAGTAAGCACTTTACATCGTCCTCAATCAGCTAGTGGGTCGACTACAAAATAAGGATAAAGCTCTCGGCGTTGATCGATCCCTGAGGAACGGGCCATGCATTCGATTTCGCTAAGCATCGTTTTGAGTTGATTGAATGCATATCTGGTCTTTGGAATCACTCTCAGTAGCCTGTCAATGTATCGAGCTAGTGCTTCTATCCTCCCACACAAGTCTGCTACCATATTGCCGACTCCGGAGGGATAAGAGACTTGGCATTCCACGGGCGCTGGGAACGATTCCACGTGTGTGATGCAGCGCGCTTCCAACCACGGCACCACACGCGCCCTCTCTGTGGGTCGACTAATGGCAAGATATAGTATTTAAGAATAGCATTATCAAAGTTCTCTCAGCGGTTTACCGCCTCATGGTGGCTGGGAGGTGTTTCTGGGTGTCGGTCTGCGATGTACAGCGGGGAGATTCGTCTTCTTGGAAGGGTTTCCCAAGCTAAGAAATAGTCCGGCGTTCCCATCAGAAAGCCTAGCTAAGAATAAACCAATACACCACCGTCCTGGTATCAAAGTCGCATGGTGGAAAATCTCCCTCTGATCCACAAGGGCTGCGACGGCTTGTCGTGGTGACCACCCGGGGCACACTTTGGCCAGGCTGTCCTGGGGAATCCAGGAAACAACAATGACTTAACCAGCAATCTCCGAAAAATGGTGAATATGCTAGGATCGCACAACCAGTGATGACGGGCCTTTCAAGTACCAAGTATTATCAGGGTAATTGAATGTTTTTCTTCAACAAGCAGACACGAGGTTGTTAATATAGAATTTATTAGAATACAATATCGCCCATGTATTACTCTGTGCGGCGGCTATCCATCAACTAACTTAGATACCTACAACAAATAAACGGCTCTGAAGAAGGCGAAACCGCCGAAACGTCAGCTATTGTATTCTAATAAATTCTATATTATCAAACTCGTGTCTGCTTATTGAAGAAAAACACTGAATTATTAATTAATGCCGAGGTTAACAGAAAGTCGGTCTTGGGAATATTATCAGGGTAGTCTAGCATTTTGTCGCCCACAAATATCAGTAACAGTCTATGGTGACGAGCTGAGAGTTGGAAGGACTGCCTCGACATTCCAAGGAAAATCATTTCGACTTATAGCTATTATGTGAATCGGCAATGAAGTGCATAGATTGCCAAGCCTTAACTTACACCATTCAGAGAACACCAATTCATGACAGGTGTAAGATAGGAAAATAGTTTAAGAGATTGAAATGATGGGAAGAGGTGTTATAGACCAGTATTGGCTGTATAGGTATGAAAGTAGGCAAAAATTTAGCATCTAGATTGAAATAACAGCGAAACAATTTCATTGACGGTGCCACTAAAAGTTTTTATGGCACCACTAAGCTATGACACCACTTCGTGGAAAGCCGTGTTCAGGCTAGCTGCTAGCAAAGTTGTCGGTAATAGAGTAACAATGATGCTAACATTCAACAGAGCCTGTCAGCACCATTAATAAATCTCACCTTTCATGAGCATTCCGCTCACTGTATAGCTGCAATGAGAAATTAACCACACCGTCTCCTCGTTTGCTATTTTAAGTTCTTTATCACGTTATCAATCGGCAATAAAACATTGACACTTCAGTTGTTTTTCAACTAATCATTACTAGCATTTTTGTATCACATTGATGTTGTACTCACGACTGCGCTAAAGTGCCACAGAATTCCCAATAACAGGTCACTAAACTCGACTGTAAATTGAAGAACGAGTCATTCCTTAACGTGAACCAAGATGAAAAATGTGGCACGCGTCATCTACGTGGGTTTTCATTAGCTACAGCAATAATCCAGTGTTTCTCTCAGAACTTCCTGAAATATGGGGCAACACGGTGACAACAACAGTTCCATTAATTTAGTTGGTTAAGAAAATCACGATACTGACGAACGAACAATCGATTATTCTAGTCATATGAGGATATGAGGAGATTTATCGTACAGCCTTAAGTGCTTAACATTATTTATTGAAACGGTTCTATAGCATCTGCACCCCACAAGAAAATTTTACCTCTAGCGAACATTACTTTTGAATGATTTTCGATGGCGATCAAAGCACTCTCAAGCAGTTCTCTAAGTTTTGTCTTCTATAAGAGTTTAACACTTCCGCTTTCCACATTAGATCTTGTTCTCCTCACGATTCAGTCATGCTTCTTTTGACCAATTTTCCTACTCCACTCTATAATTTCAAATTGCCATTCGTTAACCTTCTTATTGTAGTTGTTCGCTAGTTCTCTTTAGCTATGATTCTCTCCTCTGATCGGATTATTCCCTTGTACGACTATAGATTGATTGCCATCCCACCTAAATGGTTCCCTGTGAAATTCACACCTCAACAAGCAAGCCTTTCCATTGGCAGTTAGTTAACAAATGTTCAACGGTAAGAGCTGATGATACTTAGAATTAATTGGCTTATTAGAAAGTTTACACAAGAGTTGCGGAGTTCTAACAATGAAGACTTACACACACAAAAAACAGCAATTTTGGTAACTATCGACTTGATTCATTGCGAGTATGGGAAGGAGACGAGTCGAAATCTTAGTTAGAATAATAATTTGGTACCGGGCTTGTTTCAAGCTTGCAAAGGCCACCCACCAGTGTCGTGCTCAAATAAAAACCTATTTTTAAAATCAGTGAATAATTACGAAATCAGACATGTCCATCAAAAATTAGGGGTTATCAGGAACTGTGCGCTTTCTAAAAGTGCTCTATCGTATATGAATTCTCAAAATGATAAGCTACCCAAGAACGATGTGTAGAGCAGATGCGTTAACCACGTCGCTCTCACCCATACATCCCTCATCATCGTATCATTGGAGCGAATATTAGTATCAACACGAGTTGCTTCAATATTTGGACAAAGTCTTGAATGATTTTGTTGTAGCACCGTTGTGATCCATTCGTTTCAACGTCTTAAAGCTGCGGCGTTCATAGCGAGTGAGTGGGTGTTAATACACAGATGTTCAATGTAAATAAGTGGTAGTAACTCAACTCTATCCCAACTTACTTATTTGGATGCTTAAAACGTCTTATATTAAAGCGTGGTTTGTCGAATGGACTAGTTTTTCCTCTCTCCAAATTCTTGAAGGAAGAGAACTAAGAGCTTCCGCGTCTTCAAATTTTTATTCATTAAATCGAAGAATGTTAATAGGGAGCCTCCCAGTGTGGTATAGATTTTATAGACGGATTTAACCTCAGGTAACACATCGAACTAATCGAAGAGAGTGATCTCATTGTAAATAAACGAAGTTCCTGTTGTACGTCAGTCGAATGAAGAAGGATGGATTCCTCTATAATGACGCATAATACAGAGGATTGAGGATTGGTGAAGTGCGCTGCTCCCCGGTAAGGACAACAGCGCGTGTTCGTTCTCCACTGCATACACCTGTGGTCCGGAGTTTTGCAAATATCTCAGCA